CTGTAGGTACATATTGTTTGTATAAACGTTCTGCGGTCTATTGCTCCAGCTCTTTTATTAATTGACGAATATTGTAAGACTTCATCTTGGAATGACATATTGATCAATAATAATGTAAACAGAAATTGTAGCCGCTTTTCCTCTCTGGCGGACTACTCACCGGCTGACCCAGTGGAGAGATTCAAGAGATTACCTCAGGGCGCCTTGTATGAGAATAGAAGTGTGTGCGTGTGGGAAACCTATGGGACTCTTTAGAGGAAAACAACTTACACCTCAGTTATACATACATGTATATTTCAAAAAAAGTAGATCAAATTTACAATATGAAATTAAATAAATTAAACAGTGTGGGTACAAGAAAAAGAAAAAAAACCGCAGCGGAGCGCGTTAGAGCCGAGCTGATGGTGCTCGGTGCCTCCTCGTCGTCCCTCCAGGAGGTTACTTCCTCTTCCGCCCGAGTCGGCTATTTATATTAGATATGGATAAAAGTTTAACAATTTGCAATTATAAGTTTAAGTACGTAACTCTTGGGTACGGCTGTCCGCTTGCGTCGTGAGCCACGCAATCACCAGCTTTGCCAGAGGGTACCGAGAAACTTGAGTCTGTACCAGAAGGCCACAAAAGAGCAAGCACGCCGTCTGAGACTGACCGTCTTGACCCCGAAATCTGGGACCCTACGAATGGATTAGCACTCATATAATTAATCAGGTTCCAGAAACAAATAGGTTTAAGAAGAATTTAGACAATACTTACCACTTTAGTGGGTAGATTTAAACAGATAATATATTACGAAAATTAAATCACACAGCAATCAAAACACTATTTAAGATCGGAAGGCACGAGATAGCAGAGTGTCTCCCGTGGCAGAAAGCCGGACTTATATATCTTCGGTTAACGAAGCTTCCAGAAAATAACCCCTCTTCAAAATTTTACTTTGACATTTAACATCAGTGAACACAGAAGATCAAAACTGTAGTTATAAACTACCTTAGATAAATCAACAACAATGCAACGCGGCTAATAGATGTAGCTTTTAACAAGACCGTACGCATTACAAATGTACAAAAAAAATAACTGTTACAAAATATTGTTTGTTATCATATACTAGTGCCTAGTGTCATGTTGCCCGCGCGACGATAGAACCTGCAGTCTGCACTGTCAGGTTGGAGGGGGAGCCAACTTACTTAAAAATATTCGAAATAGAATGCAGTGCTGACTTCAATAGTCTGCACTGACGCGACAGCTACATATTAATTTACAACAGGGTTTGGGGTCATTTACTTACCCTGTGTAAATCCAGCTTTACGCAACCTCGCTGTAGGACATCTTCTCATTCTTGCCCGCTGTCTGCCTCAACTATTAATTTGTTACATACTTCGACGTAGGAGAGGAGAGGCCTATGTCCAGCAGTGGACTATCATAAGCTGTTGATGTGATGTGATGATGATACATCGACTTTCGACGTTGCGGTTATTTTACCGTCAGGTGTGCATAATACTGTTCCAGTATTATAATTATAATATATATAAAATTCATTAAATCCGTTTTAACTAGTACAGAGCGTGCACACATTACAAAATTGATCAAACACTCTACCTGCCTACTCAATGTTTTTAAATTAGAAAACTAAACCTTTCAAACCATCAGTTTAAACATTACAAAACCCGGTTTACAATCCGAGGCTCAGAACTGTGTGTAATAGAGTTGGCTGTGTAGGTTCTTCCAATTACAGCCTTGAAACTGCAGACATGCAGTGTGTTTCTGTACCGCTGTTAACTAGAATCGACTAGATTTATTGGATTAAACTGAGACAATGACAGGAACTAACGAACGAGTGTAATGGCAATGGCACTCTACGATACAAAAGACAATATGGCAGTAATAAACTCCTGATGGGAATTGGCTCCATGTGAGTTTTATACAGTTGGCCCGACACATTAGCATAGGGGACCGCTAATTACTAGGTGTTAGGCATACTGCCTAGTATGCAGGTCTACTAATTTAGTTGTATAATTTTTTTAATATAAACTCACATTTTAAGTGAATATTGAAACTAATAAAGTAGGTGAAATATTATGACATCTTTGTATATTATTTTGCATTTATATTGCATATTAAAATATAGTATTATTTTTGTACGTATAAAATAATAATATAAAAAGAAATACTAGTCAAATAATCTGTACAAAACTACCTTGTTATACAATAAGTGAGGTTTGTAAGAAAGAACAGAAGGAGGCTGTGTAACCCCGATGGATATTGGCAATACCGGCTCCTTCCAGCTGTAAGTAAAGTCCGACTTGTAATAATATCTAAAAAGATTTACTTACAGAAATAAATATTATTTATCATTAGACTTTCACGGTTCCAATTTTTTCGTGTACACCTCTATTTTTATATTTCTATGTGAAGCTTAACTTAATATACTGAGTAAAAATGAATTTATTTATTTATAAACTTATTTACATCATATTCGTACACTTTGAATGTCAAAATACAAGTATGAATTGAATAATAACAGCTTTACATATCCCAAACTAGGCAGAGCCTGTGCTATGGTATAAAGACTGCTGATAAACTTATATATTTCTAAAAATATAAATATAATAGACTAGCTTTTGCCCGCGGCTCCCCGCGTGTATATCGGTCATTGCGCTGTAAAGTAGCCAGCCTCACAACTTAAAGTATGTATGCCCATACCAAATTTCATCTAAATGGGTTCAGCGGTTATTGTTTCCCCATACAAACTGCCACCTTCGTTTTCACCTCCTTAAAGGATGATTTCTGGGATAAAACTATCCTATGTCCTTTGCCGGGACTCAAACTATCTCTATACAAAATCGGTACATCGGTTTAAGCTTGAAGAGGTAACAGACAGACAGACACACTTTCGCATTTATAATTGCAGTATGGATAACTTACACTCAGTGATCAAACAACAAATGATCGTGCTCTTCACCCAATATTTGTCCTGGATGTTTATATATCAATAAGAAACACTGGGCCCACAACGAATTAAAAACATACGACCACTTGTATCCACTGTACTTAGAATGTGATGATCGCGTAATTTGCAACTACAGCAGGGTCGCAATTCTGCTATTTCAATATTGTATCAATAGACTGTCAGTGGAATGTCGTCGAAACAGTTTTGCACTGTTCTTATTCTACTAACTATGTAAGACCAAGGCCTTTCGATGACTTGTCTTGATGTCTTTTTCTTTTTAATAGTTTGGTAAACCGTACATTTTAAATTTGTAAGAAAATGTTATATTTCATTTTCCAGATATGGCAATGTTGTTGATATCACCATTGATGACTTATATTACTACATCGACAGTCTTAAAACTGTGAATTTATGTTAGTAGAATACCGATATTGTGACCGATGTCAATGGCATCTCAATAGTGTGTCAATGGAATGGCAGGGGCTTGGCGTTAACATTAAAATAGCAGAATTGAGGCCCAGGTCAAAAAATGCTTCTAGAAATGTTTAAAGAATAACAAAGCTTGTTGAAATAGTATGTCGGAAGTTTGGTGCTTCATCAACTATTTGCATGTACTTAATTCCCATAAGTGGGATTCGATAAAATGTGGGCGTTTAATACGTTTCTGTCTAGTTATTTTTAGCAGCACATGCTGCACATGTCTTACTCGAATCAAATCTATTTTATCGATACTATACATTAAAAAAACAGATCAATATCAGCGTTGTATTATTAACAATATAGAACTAGTTTTGGTGCTTGTGTTTCACGGCCATTTAATCATAATATTATACATACTAGAGCTTTGTAAACGGCAGTTGACGAGGTGTGTTGTCCGACTTCTCTAAATAAATTACTGATTAATTGTTAACCTGTTGGCAAGTATGTTAATCTTAAATGTTTCATTATCATCACCATCATGATCTTCCTGCTTATCGCAATTTATATAATTTTGGGATCTGCGCATTATAAAAGGGTTTTCGATGTTTTCTTTTACGGTCGGCGCCTGTCTATCTGCATTAGCATTGCAATCCTCACATGGGACAAAGGAAAAAAGTGCATTGGGGTAAGGAATGGTGTTCCTTCCTTGGAAAAAGGGATTGATGGGATGAAGACGATTACGGAGGATGACGTATGGTTTCTAACTGTAGCTCCTTTAGACTTACAACGGTTTCTCGTGCAGTGTGAGGTCTTGCGTTATCATGGAGCAATAATGGTGAAGATCGATTCACCAGTCGCCACTTTCGCCATTGTTTGAAGTTTGGCACAGTAAACATTTGCTGTTATTGCCTGACCAGACCCAAGAAAGCCCATGAAGAGACCACCAAACGGTTACCATTACATTCAATATAGCTTTCTTTATACTACTATAGCAGCTTTTAATTGGTAAGCTTTGTTTAGGACACTGTTTCGGCGTTGGACCTGGGGTCAGCCATTGCATTTTTCGCTTACGGTTATCGTAAACAATTTACTTTTCGTCACATTTCACAATTTAAACTAAGCAGACTAGACTGACTGATAGATTACTTATATACTTTTCTTTTTGTAAATACATACATATTATACCTTGAAAACACTCAAACTCCGAAACAAATATTTTCAGATTATACAAACATTTGGTACGACCCTGGGAATCGAACCCGAGACCTACGCACGTATTCGCTATCACTGCGCCACCGAGGCAGTCAAACATTAAATTACTTGACATTTTCAATAAGATATGAATAGGATAGGATACCTTCAGATTCTTATTAAATGTCAATAGAAGAATTAATAAAAGTTGACCTCTTCAACTTCAACATCGAACTCCGTTAGGATATTAAAATAAAATTGTTATTTACATTTCTAACCGACTTCAAAAAAAGAGGAGGCTCTTAAGTAATTAGGTTGATATTTTATATTTTTCATCTAAGAACTCCGTCATTTTTTTAAATACCACCCTAAATGGTAGAAAATTAAGAAATAATCCACATTAAAATATAAAAATAATATAATATAACTTTTCTTCATACAGGGGCGCAACTCACTCCAACCTGGTGATATGCGACGAAACAGGACGGGTGGTGGGCAAAGCTAAAGGCCTTGGGACCAACCACTGGGTCCTCGGGATAGATGAATGTGCAAATAGAATCATAGGCATGCTCCACGAAGCTAAAGACGACGCATGCATACCTAGAGATCAACCTCTGGACTCCTTAGTAAGTGGAAATTTTGCTAAATAGTTTTAGACACAACTTTTCAGATACACAGTAAAGGGTCTAGCAGGATAAGGCAGGTTCAGCGGCCCCAGAAAGATATTTTGAAACTAACTCATTAGGCAACATCGGCGAGGTGTAAAACCACTATTAACTGAAATTCAGCCTGTTCTGGAGATAATTGATCAAAAGACGCTAGAGCGGGTATTTTCCAAAATTTTTTTTTTGAAAACTATTACAGCTGCACTAATGAAACAAAAAGTGGTCGTTAGACAAAATATTAGTCTACATTATATATTTTTTATAGAATTTTTCAGTTGTATTTACTATAAAAAAAATAAAAATTTCTAGATTTTATTCATAATTCGAATTTGGTTTTTCAGAAGAAATCTTTTGTACTAGTGTCGTCTGAGTTTTCGTTAATAGAATCGATGACGCCTTCATCATTGTTTGTGTTTTTGGGTTGGTGGTTTTTTCATGCCTTGTTCTTAACCTAATAAGTGGTTCATATTTAAAACGCGACAAGATAGTTCACGAACTGAGGGTAACAAAAGTGTGTGGGGCCTAATCCCATGCAAATACTGTTGGTAACATGGATCGACCTGAATCATGGAGTTACTTCTCTAACTTTTCCTTTACCTGCCGAATAGTTCTTAATGACTTTGTGGCTTTAAAACGTCGTAGTCTAATTGCAGATTAAAAATATCTTTTTCTTATCAACAATTTATTTAGGATTCACCATTAACAGCCTTTAACAGTCCATTGCTGGACATAGACCTCTCCTTACAAGGAGGGTTTAGCCTACTATGCCACGCTGGCCAGACGGGTTGGCCTACCATTTTGTTATTGTTCTATAACGGTTGTACGTTCCAGAACATTTTGATTTTACCAATAAACAAAAGTATCAGGTCCCATTATTAGCGAATTATTCCAATTACCTCCTTATTAAATCGTAATATAAGTAATTCAGACAATCACACGAGTAACGCTTGCTTTTATCAATTCGATCTTCAATTCACAGGGGCTGACGTTGTCCGGGTGCGAGCAGGAGAGCAGTAACGCAGAGCTGGCGACCCGTGTAAAGGAAAAAGATGAAAATAGTGCAAGGGCAATTTATGTTGCATCAGATACAGCTGGGTCATTGTTTACTGGAGCGCCTAATGGTGGGATGGTGCTTATTGCTGGTAAGATTCCAATTTTTAATTACAAAACGCTCCGAAGAATAGGCAGTTACGTTACGAGAGCTGCTATTTATGTATCCCGAACTGGCCAGTTACAGAACAATATTAAAAAAGTAATTATAACATTGAAAATGGAACTCTTTGGCTGAAGACAATTTTTGTTATGTAAATTTTTTTATTTGTAGGGTCATTTTGAAAATTGCGTGTCTTTATCACTACGGATTTAACTCGTGAAAATTTAATTATTATTAATCGCTAAAATTCGAAAATTTTCTGCTGCTAGAGCATGAGATCATTAAAAAAAGAAATACTCTGAGTAATCAGTAAATGTTTTGTTTTTAAAAACTGTACTATAGTACCTACAGTATAAGTAAAAGTAATATTAGAGTTGAGTACATGTTTAACATATAATTGTTTCACCGGAAGATACATCAAGTGTTTTGTAGCCAGATTAGATATCGATTCTAGTTTTAATGACCTAGGTACATCGATATGTATCGATACACATCTCGGGTATACCTGACTGAAATTTTCCGCCCGCATGGGCCGATATCTATATACAACGAAAACACTTCAGCCCTATCTAACAAATATAAACCAAAAAAAATAGCAATTGTTCCTATTGATCCTGTATTGTATAAGGAAATTTCCTACGCCAATTTATCTATTCCCCAATCATTCCACTTTTGTATCGACAGGACATTATATGCTGCATACTGCACCAAAAGAACAAAACGAAAATAGGATCCGATTCAATCTGTGGAACGGGTTATCGTCGGCGGTCTTTCCGGACCGATACGACCTTCAAACCTTCAAGAAAAGAGCTTACTCCTTACTAAAAGTCCGGCAACGCGTTTGTGACTCCTGAGTTGCAGACGTTCATGGGCGGCGATGGTCACTTTCCATCAGGTGATCCGTCTGTTCGTCTGCGCCCTCTGACATATAAAAAAAGACTGCTAATACGAGTCTCGTTCATGTAAGCGTAAAGGTCCTTTGCGTAAATATTGTTACGAACTGGGGTTTGTGATTAGATGAATATATAAAAATTGATAATTCATAATAGAATAGAGTAGAATAATCTTTATTGTACACCAATTCAGGACATACAATACGAGTAGTACTCGTATACCAAGTTAATGACCATGTACAAATGGCGGCCTTATCGATTAGAAACAATAATACACAATGAATTTTTTGTTCTGTGCCATTTGAACTAGAATATGTCCAGAATGCAACGTGAAAATGCAAAATGGAACTTACTCTGAGATATGCTTAGCATGGATAATAGATATTATACCTATATACCGTACGTGTTTCGTGAACGTGCCAAAAAATCTCGTAATAACCCGACTAATTCGATACTTAATTTAATACTGACTCGTATTACCCTGGAATGTTTATCTGGGATTCCGTTAGTTCCACGTGTCTAAACTTGTTGCGACCGTAGCTAACTAATTGTAATTCTTAGTTAATACTTCATAAGATCGGTGACTTTATAATTGTGAATGGAAACCATGGTGTTGTATTAAGATTCACAGAACTTTTGAAGTTCTCGTCAATGTATGTTCTCTTAAGTGTAATAACACTTAATTTAGTATAAAATTTGTACCTAATCAAATACGTAAACTTAAATGGTTGGCAAAATATTATGTTTTTTTTTGCTCTGTTGTGTCAGATAACGAATATTTTTAAACAGCCGCATGACACACAATAGAAGTAAAACGATATGTGTATAGATATCGACTTTATGATTCTGCATAATGTAAAACTGTTCGCTACGAGCAGTTTACAATCACTCCGAGAATCGGATCACTTCATACATTCAGGCCTATATCCCAGAAATGATAGGCTGAGGCATTAAAATGGTACCGACTAGACATGGACATTATGGCTACTTTTAAATATTATTAATTTGATGAAATGATTAGTTTTAGGCACAGCGATTTCACATGTGATTGCGATTTCATCATAGACAAAGAGAAATGGCATTAAAATCAATTAAAATCAAAAATTCTTTTTATCAAATATTACGACCTTTTTTTTAGATTTTTGAACGTTTTCCGGGGTTTGCGCTAGCGTAATAATAATAATTAAGTAGCAGTGGTTTTGTAAATCAGTCAAAGTTCTGATGATATGATTTATAAATCAAATGATTTATCACATGTGTATATGATTTTATTCCATCTAGGGATGGAATGGATGTACCAACTATGTGTGTAATTGTGCAAGTGCGTTGTCACTCTTTAGGTATTTTAATCCAGAATCAGAGGTGAAAATTTGGCTCCCTAAACCCTATAGAAAAAAGGTATCATAGAATTTATTTAGTTAGCAATAAATAATGTTATTCAGTGGATACATCAGAAAGGAAAAAAATCACTGATACAAAAACCTGTCCACTGTTTTAGTTATTTACAATTAATAAAAACCAACGGCGTGATAGATGATACTCGATATTAATTGGTGTCCATGACGAGAAACAATCTTGATATTTAAAATTAATTAATTCAATACTTAGAATAAATCACGAACCATGAATTTGTACTTAGACGTTTTATTCAAAGTAGCAAATTATAACAAACTAGCTGTAGATGTTACGCTTTCTGTGGCACATTAAAATTGTATTGATGAAAAATGAGAAAATAATTGACTCAAAAAAAATAGATAAACAACCTTTGAAGGGGTTTCGTGACAAAATTTGAGGTGGATCAGTGCAGTACTTCTTGAGTTTTTAACTAAAACTAAACCAAAAATTGTATAGAAATTTAGATTACTCAAATTTATCATCACAAATAAACATTATCTCGTCACAAAATTAAATTCTTGTTGGTTAAAACCATGGTCGCTTTTATTCATCGGGCACTCAGAATTATGACTTGGAATTGCGTTCAATTGAACCGCATCGCCACGACTCAAGAATACTGAATTTCTAATGCGAGATATAATCGAGGTTAACAGCACGAATTAGTTAACAGTACATTCACTTTATTAATAAAAACGTAACGATAACTTGCCATTGTAATGATAGACAGTTTCATCAATTCATTTATCGACTTTCAAAAAATAGGAGGATGTATCTTGGTGGTGAAGCGTGGTGACACTTTTGCTCTTGTAAGGTATGTTATATTTTTAACCGACTTCAAAAAGGAGGAGGTTATCAATTCGGATGTTTATATTTTTCATGTATGTTCGGGTATAACTCCGTCATATATAGAAGACGACAACGGAGTGATAATACGGCCTCACAGAAAACCGGTGTTAAGCAATTTTTTCGTTGCCTTTCATTGAGTGAGTGAGGTTACCGGAGCCAAAATCCCCCGCTGACTCGAGCGAAACGGACTCCAAGTACGGCAACGCACTTGTAACTTTTGAGTTGCAGGTGTTCATGGGCGGCGGTAGTTGCTTACCATCAGGTGATCCGTCTGCTCGTTTGCCCCCTTATACCATAAAAAAATAGACGGATTTTCAACATTATTTTTTTGTTCGAAAGGGGATTATTCCGAAATGGTCCCATTTAAATTTCATATAGATCTGGTGATGAGTTTCGGAGACAGACGATTGCTGCTGGGTTTTAGTACTCGTTGTTAGTATTGTTTGAAGTCGGTTTAGCTTTTTATTTTTAAGGTTTAAACTTATTATGATGTTTGATTTTGTCTTACCCATTTGTAAACAACTATCCCTTCTTTTTTTATGGTATACGGGTTTAAGTCACAAGTGCATTACCACCTTTTGAGACTCGGGCCAAGAGGGTTTTGGCCACCGGTAACCAATAATAATAGTTCTAAATTATTTTTCATTAATTTCATTAATCAGTCAAATCCGCAGGAAAAACTTCAATGGCTATAAATTCTGTTTATACATCAAAAGCTCAAGGCTAAGGGTTATCTCTAAAGCGCCATTCGCCGTCCTATATGACACGACCTAATTACTACAATAAGTAAATAACAGACATCTGTTATGATTTGACATACCTACCAAGTACAATTTTAAATATGGCAACATTTTTCTGATTTATTCTCTGTGACGTTAAGTCATATTTCTTTATTAATTAAGGCCGTAATTAAGATGTGTAGATTGATTAAGGCGCGTAATTAAGATGTGTAGATTGATTCCGTGCTGTTTTTAGTCCGACATATCCACCGTATCCGAGGGGATTTCCGCACAGAAAGAAAAGGAAAATGACCTTGTGTGAATGTTAAAAAAATGTAGAGTAAATCTCAACGTTTTTGTTATTAATACTTTTGAATATCAGTATTAAATACAAGATATAATAACTGCGTTTTTATAGGAACAGACGCAGACTGTGATATCAGTTGTAACTGAATATAAATTATATCACGGAACAGGTTTCTGTACACACCCATTTAATTGTTTGTGTCGTATAGAGAGGCTTGTCAACAGTTGTTTCGTTACAAGTAACTGTGATATTACCTTGTGCATTTATATACCTGCCAAAGTATTACAAAATATCTTAAATAAACCATACTAATACTAGCTATGCCCACGGCTTCGGTCACCGTGATTATTTGTTATTTCGTAACTTTGAAAATGACGAACTTCTATACAACCAATCATCCCATATTTTAGCCCTTTGGGGGTTAAAGTTCCATATAAATTTCAAACCTCCATTTTGCACCATTAGTGGTAGATTTTCTTAAAATCCTTTCTTGGTGCACACCTACGTCACGTAGGGAACATTTGTGCTAAATTTCATACTTGTAAACCAAGCGGTTTCGGCTGTGCGTTGGTCGATCTCTCAGTGAATCAGTCTTGACAGTTTCTTCTTTTATAGATAATAATAATAATAATAACCCCCCCGGGGGATCACCTTGCCGTGGTGGGGGGGCTTACGGGTATCGGGTACTGATTATGATCTTAACAACTCATCATTGTGTTGGGTCTCTGCTTCTGGAGTGGCCGGAGACCTGATACTAGCACCTATCCAACTAACGATCCCAAACCCATTCAATGGAGCACCTTATGGAAACTGAGAAGAAGAAGTATTA